CTCTCTTTCTGTCACGCGCGCGCACGCACGTGCACGCACACCGGAGTTATATGCCGCTATAGAGCTTGCAGAAGGGAGAGCGGGTGAGCCCAATAATCTCGCCTTGTTGGTGAACACTTGTAGCCCATTCATTAAACAAAGATAATCCATGCCAACCTCCCTTGGGGGCACAGAAACGGTATTTCGTCCGTGTGTGTGTGTGTGTGTGTGTGGGGGGGGGGGGGGATGCATGAGTGCTGGCCAACAGCTTTGGCAGAGAGCGACCCTTCGCATGTTTGAAATATTCATGCGCCATGGCGGGTTATCCCCGTTTACCGATGAGTGTCATTCTAGCGACGCTTGAGAGCCTCTCTGCGCCTCTTCAGCTCGAGTGTTTGCTGCACATGGCCTCCGCCAACCCGGCCGTAATTTAGCTTATGGCTCTTCGTCTCAGTGACCTCTGAGGGGCTCAGCGGTCGCACTTCATTTTCGTTTTCCGCCAGCGGTGCGATGTGAACGACTTTCACAATATCAACATTTGTAATTGTCGTTTTTTGTTTTTTTACTCCCAATATGACAGGTGTTTTTACTGAATGGATTGTGGCAGAAATAAGTAAGTATTAGCTCCAGTTATCCCCAGAACAATGAATATAATACAACATGTAGTAATATAATTTCTAATAATTTAATCTTTTTTGTTTTGATGCTTTTGTAATAATTGTTACAATGATCGGTTCTTCTCCATTAGTTTAAATGTAAATGATGAATAAGAGAGCTAATGAAACAATGTTGCCCAATTGACACCATAGAAAGAAAGTTAGAAATACACCCCCCCCCAACCAAACAATGTGTTTTATATGTGACTCTGCCCCTAGGAATGCCTTTGGTTTGATCCGCTCCCCCCGCGCTGTGGAGCGGGTGTGAAGCGGCAGGTTAACAGCCCCTTGCCCCCCCCCCCCCCCCCCTCCCGTCTCAGCCCACCGGCCCCCAAGGAAGAGAAACCTCCCGTTAAATTTAGAAAATATACAAGTCTCAATCGATCAACAAACAAACTTCGAGTAAATTGCATTAAAAGTCAATGGATTAATTGATTGAATTACGTGTCACCATTGTAGCCATTAAACACGTTTTCTTCTTTTGTGTAATAACTAACCAGGGGAATAAACACAGAGCACTTTGAGCAGCCAACTTTCCCCTCGTGTCACTCTGCTTCCCCACACACATTTATTGGGTTAACAATAAAAAACGTGTCAGGCAGCAGACTATGGATTCTGCAACGAGCTCTTCTGTCCGTATCTTTCTCAAATAAATAAATCAGGATTTACTTTGGCGAGGCCTTATTCTCCAGATTTGTATTTACTTTTAACGAAAAAAATATATTCATATTTAAAAATCTAAGAATATGTCCTAATGCATTCGTCTTTTCTTCTTCTTCTTTTTTTCAAACTCAATTCTCCTTTTCACTGTTTGTAAAGAATGTGACATTTTATGTGTAACAATTTCATTCTGCAGTGGAGAATTTAATCGGATAAATATGTGCTGTGTATGACTCATTTCGTTTGAATTTCCAAACCATCTGGCGATCAACCAGCACCGTGATGCGGAAGGAAAACGTAGATGAAACGTGTGGAATTGGTTCAGTGGGAAACAACGGGCACGCGGGTTTAATGAGGCCGCATTGAAGCGGCGCGCTGCGCGCTGCCAGGGGGCGCTGATGGAGAGAAAGCGCATCTCTGCTGGCCTCATTAAAGACTTGTTTAAATGGTGTGTGAACTGAAGACTAGCTGGAGAAGAAAAAAAGTACTTTTTAAATTAAAAAGAATTTAAGAACGGTCGTCTCATTTAGTGATATCTCTGAAACAAAATAATAATCTATGTGTCCTTTTCTCTTTTCACTTATGAAGGGGGAAAAAAGAAATGATGATTTTATATATATCA